GACCACTAAACTAAGAATCCCTACAGAAGGGCAGCCCAACAGGGCCCTGCACTAAGGGGCCCTAGGTGACAGCATACAGGCTAGCTGATAACCTAGGAACAAACAGATGAATGCAAACAGATATAGAAACCACCAGCTTACTTGTTTCCCGCTTGTGGCAAGGTGCAGTTATAGGTGCACAACCTCGAAGCATGCTCCAGTCCCGTTTTTTTAGCTGAACACTGGGCCTGACAGGGTTGACATTTACCTACCCCTTCCTGCATATTCCTATTGGTCAGTGAGGCCGACTATCATAGGGACGGTTTAAAAAAAAAAAAAAAAAAAAAAAAACACCCGAAAATGTCAGCTTTGCCTGTCAGAATGGCCGAGCATGTGGCTGGGAAAGGAAGGTTTTACACATAGTCTAAAAGTAGTTTTTAAGGCCAATTTTTCCCTAAATACACTTACATGCTTTATGGGTTTTTTTGTTTTTTTTTTAAATTTGTTTTATTTCCTCCTAAAAACTTTTAATTTTTTTATTTGTCCCCTGCCTATGCCACTATATTCCTATTCTATGCCCCTGTGCCATCAGGACTTTTGAATTTCTGTGTGTGAAACTCTGCAACAAGCAAGCTCCTGCTCTGTACTATAACTCTACGTATAGTTGTTCAGGAGCACCACACAGCCAATGCAAGTGGGACAGAGCCACTGTCAATCACCAAGGTTGAGGTGTGACTTTTGCGCTGTGTCCTCACCCTGGCTGTGTGTGCTGCATACAGATTTATAGCACAAAGCGAGAGACTCACACAGGAGTTCATAGGTCCTGGAGGCACAGAGAAGAGGAATTTAGTGGTGCTGCCCTCAAGAGAATAAAATATGCTCTGAAGAGGAAATTTAGATTGACTTACCACTTAAGGCTCCATTCACACCAAAGTCCATTTAACATGGTTTCCTATGGAACGTGGTAATATCTGCTGTTTTGAGCTGCTGCATTTTTGGAAATGGTCAGGAACTTTTTTTTTTTTTTTTTTTTTATTAAAGCAAAAAAGCAGTGTTTTTGCCACAATAGAGTTCAAGGGAGAAGCTGCTGAAATGCATGGCAGTGCATTTGCCACATTTTTATTCTGGCCAAAAAAAAAAAAAAAACTGAACAAAAACGCTGTAAAAACCATCGAAAATGCATGTAGAAAAAAAAAAAACAAAAACCTGCAAAAAGCACTGGTGAAAGCATCAAATGCATATACAGTTAAGTCCATATATATTTGGACACAGGCATAATTTTAATTTTTTTCTCAGGTATTTTGCAAAACATACACCAAAGATCCATTATCTCCTGCGCTCAAATACTCAGATCAAACAGGCTTTCGTGACAAGCAGCGTGTTGTGTGTTCATCCGCTGGTGATCAGAGGCTGTGCAGCTCTAACATGAAGCTGGGGAAGCTTAATAAAACTGTAGAGGAAGATGAAAGAAAGAGCGCACAAACCTTGCGCATTACCTCAATAAATAGTGACTAATTTTATTAATAAGGAAATATACTCACAAAGTGATGGTATAACAGGCATAAGTAACCATAATCCAAACAGGGTTACAGGTAAATTGAAAAGGAGGGGGGGGGGGGGGGTGAAGGCTAACGCGTTTCAAAGGGTGCTCCCTTCTTCATCAGAGCTGGGTTGAGCAGATAGAGACTTCAGTACGGCAGAGTTCCCATAGCAAAGAGATATTCAGCCATTGAGTGTCAGTATTACAGCAGTTCAGCCCTTGCAAAACATATTCAAGCTATAGTTCTATAATGGATATGGGCTGAAAGTGCACACTCTCAGGTTTAATTTGAGGGTATGTACATCCAAATTGGAGGAAGGGTTTAGGAATTACAGCTCTTAAGAGAAGCCATCCCCTTTTTCAAGGGACCAAAAGCAATTGGACAAAATTAATATCATAAATAAAATGGTTATTTTTAATATTTTGTTGAGAATCCTTTACTGGCAATGACTGCCTGAAGTCTGGAACCCATGGACATTACCAAAAAGACTGGGTTTCCTCCTTTCTGATGCTTTGCCAGGCTCTACCTGAAGCTGTCTTCAGTTCTTTGTGGGTCTTACTGCCTTTAGTTTTGCCTTCAGCAAGTGAAATGCATGCTCAATGGGGTTGAGATCAGGTGATTGACTCAGCCATTGCAGAATATTCCATTTTTCCTTCAAAAGCTCCTGGGTTGCTTTCATAGTGTGTTTTGGATCATTGTCCATCTGTACTGTGAAGTGCTGTCCAATCACCTTTGCTGCATTTGGCTGAATCTAGGCTGACAGTATATCTCTAAATGCTGCAGAATTCATCCGGCTGCTTCTGTCACATCATCAATAAACACCAATGACCCAGTGCCACTGGAAGCCATGCATGCCCATGCCATCACATTGCCTTTTACAGATGACACTGTGTGCTTTGGATCATGAGCTGTTCCAAGCCTTCTCCACACTTTTCTTCCCTGTCATTCTGGGACAGATTCATCTTAGTTTCATCTGTCCAAAGAATGCTTTTCCAGAACTGATCTGGCTTTTTTTGGGCAAAGTCTAATCTGGCTTTTCTTTTCTTCAGGCTTATGGTTTGCATCTTATGAGCTCTATTTACTCTCGTGAAGTCTTCTCTTGATTGTACACTTTGACAATGATACGCCCACCTACTGGAGAGTGTCCTTCACTTGTCTGGATGTTGAGAAGGGGTTTTTCTTTACCATAGGGAGGATCCTGCAGTCATCCACCACTGTTGTCTTCAGTGGATGTCCATGCCTTTTTATGTTGCTGCACTCACCAGTGCGTTCTTCTTTCAGAATGTACCACTGTTGATTTGGCCACTCCTAATGTTGCTGCCATCTCTGATGGAGTGGTTTCAATTTTGAAGCCTTACAATGGCCTGTTTCACTTGCATGGACAGCTCTTTTGAACGCATGATGTAGGTTCACAGCAAGAGATTCCAAATGCAAATACCGCACTTGAAATCCACTCCAGACCTTTACCTAATCAATTGAAGAAATTTCAAAGGAGTAGCCCACATCTGGCCATCAAACAGCTTTTTAGTCAATTGTCCAAATACTTTTGGTCCCTTGGGGGGGGGGGGGGGGGGGGGGGGAATTGGGGGATAGCTACTCTTAGAGCTGTAATTCTTAAACCCTTCTTCCACTTTGATGTACATACCCTCAAATAAACCTGAGTGTGCACTTTCAGCCCATATCCATTATAACTATAGCTTGAATATGTTTTGGTAAATACCTGAAAAAAAATAAAAAAATTGTGCCTGTGTCAAAATATATATGGACCCAACTATATGTGAACCAAGCCTTAAAAATAGTGAAACCCTCATCGATGAAGATTTATTTTCAGCATTACATGCTCTTGTGGTTGCAAAAGGTTTAAGTATACATTACATATGAAAAAAATGTATTCAGCCAGATACAGCTGTATGGTTTTAAAAAAAACCATTGCACAAATATTGGATCTAAAAAAGTGCTCAACACGGCAACAAGTAAAATCGGTTACTTCAGGTTGTTATGAATCGTTAATTTTGTTCACATTATTTTGCTTTTGATACTTCTTGAACATGTTCTGTCCACCTGGTTTACAATGCCAAGATTTCAACAAAATATTCAGAAGCACAAATTGTATTACCAGCCCTAGACATTTGATCAAGTCACAGAAGCTGTATAGTTTACAGCTGGAGGACCTCTGGGAAAATTGCCAACTGACCTTCTGTACCTTAAACTTGAAGTACAGCCAAAGCTCTTTTGGCTGTACTTCTCCTGTGGATCACAAGAGTGCAGTTTGTTCTGCACTGCTGTGACCTGTGTTTAGCTGACAGCAGGCTGAAGCTGGGGGAAAAATCCCAACTTAAACATCGGATCCACCCCAGTTTGGAGCAGCACCTGGATCGGCAATCTGCTGAGAGCCTGAGCCAGCTACTCCGACCCACTCCACAGCCTAGCGGTTTAGTGAGCGCTGGGGGGAGGGCGGACAGAGCAGAGAGTGGTGACTGATAGTCACCGCTCTCTGCTCAGAACAGCTGTGAGAACTCAGCGGTCATGTGATCACAGAGTTCTCTCACTTTTTGCCAGCAGGGACAGATGCTGCATCCACCTAGGCAAGTATAATTTGGGGGGGAATGTGTCCTTTAACTCTACAATAGTGAAGCATGCACAATGGCCAAAGAACTTCAAGGACAGCCCTGGAATGCCCCATACAAACCTACTCTTGCAAGAGTGGGCATTAGTACAGAAATCCTATTATGCTAAGACACTAGATAGACGAAAGTTCAGACAAATGAGCTTGAATGACATTTAAATCCATGGACCTTAATGACTTGCCCAACCCTTGCCTTGTGGCTATAACAGCTTCCACTCTCCTGGGTAGACTTTCCACAAGATTTTGGAGTGTATCTGAAAATTCATTAATATTCAACAAAAAGTGAAATTATAAAAATGAGCTACCAATGCTGGACAAGACCTTTCTTGCAGTAGTCCTTTCGATCAATCCAAAATTTGTTCAGTAGGGTTCAGGTCAGGACACAACCGGTCCCAGAATACTGCGGGACCATTCACAAAGCACGACTCATGCATGTGCAGTCGGCACCCGATTGTGAAGCCGAAAGCTGCACAGGCGCCTGCCCGCAGTTAGGATGCCAGCACTGGGAACCCAGAGGTTAGTGAAGAACTAGCCTAGGAGAGGATGGTGATGGATCCTGGGACATGTATGTGTCCATTTATTAAAAGTCATTGGCTATGGGATTTTTTTTTTTTTTTTTTTTTTTTTTAAAACAGACAACCTCCATCAAGCAAACTAGGTGTTTAGGACATCACCTATGCACTCTGCTCAGGTACCTTTATGTGCAGTCTGATTCATCCCTATGTGTGTTCATGCCATTTACATGCCACCAAATTAAAAAAAAAAAAAAGCTTTTTTTTATTAATGTGCAAAATAGACATTCATATACAATATGGACACTTGACATTTACATGTTATTACATATTTACAATATATTATTTATACACCGTGCTGACTCTGTCACCAAAGAACTGGATGAATATTTCCGGGTGACTTTTGTAGAACTGACCCAGAAGACGCTTCTTTTCTTTAGGGGACAGCTTAGTGTTCTCATATATAGTTTTCAACAAAGTCCACAGTTCTGTCCGTGTTGTTTTTTGTGTGGCAGAATCAAATTCGCTCTTCTCCATTCTTTGGCAAAAGGCATAACCTGAGAACAAAAAGACAAAAATTACATTTCAAAAAAAATGTCACCACCAGCAGCTTTGTTCCTTTAGCCTGAATAATCACAATCCCGCATCTCTGCTCAACAAGCCTTGCTCTGTATTGCTTCTGCATCTTACACCAAGAGAAAAATGTACTTGAAACTGCTATATAGAAGCAAGATATACACAGTTAGCTCTCATTCACACCAATGCGATTTGTCATGCTATTTAACAGTTCAAATGGACAGCCTGTGGAACCATTCAAATCAGTGCAACCCCGACTTGCCGATTTTGAACAAGGTTTATGCACTAATTTTGGCAATTTCATGTGCAACCTGCATTGACATCTGTGCATGAAGTAGCACAGATGTAGGCATGCCGCACATGAAATTGCGCTGACAAGCAGCTTTGAAATCAAAACAGGGCTTAGGCTGCTTGTGTGCATTAAGCCCCGGTTCACACCAGAGCAGCTTTGAAACTATGCTACTTTGTGCAACATCAAAGCTCACTATTCAGTGCTACTTCATTGCGCCTTGCTGACAGACTGCACTTCATTTCAACTAGCATTGACATCTGTTAAATGAACAAAAATAATGCATTAACCTTTTTCAAAGTTGCTGTGACTCGAGTCACACAGATTTGCATGGTTCTAATGCCTCTAATGGGGCGCAACTTGTTACATGACTTAAGAGTTTTTAAAGTCATATGACAAGTTGCACTGGTGTGAACCAGGGCTAAACAATTTCTGATCTCTCCATCCCCTGAATTCATTGCCACATTTTAGTGGTGAATACAGCAAGTGTTGAACCGATAAACAGTATCTGTGCCAATACTAAGCATTTACAGAAGTAAAAATGTACTCCTGCAAATGCTCCAATTCTGAAAACAGATACTTCACACCAATGCAATTTGTCATGTGATTTGACAGTTCAAATGAACAGCCTGTGGAACTGTTCAATCAGTGCAACGCCAACTGGCTCTGATTTTGGAAAAAAGTTCATGCACTTTTTTTGGCAATTCCATTGCAACTCGCATCCACTTCTGTTAAAACAAAACGTAGCAAGCCACAATGAAATTAGGAGGTCCAAATCACACCAATCTGTAGCTTTGAAAATTGCACTTACAGTGCAATTTGGACTAACTTCATTTAACAGAAGTCCATGCAAGTCGCAACAAAATCACAGATGCCTTTCAACTTGTCATGTGATTTTGAACTGTCAAATTGCATGACAAGCTGCACGGTGTAAACTATAAAAAAAAAAAAAAATTAATCCAATGGCAAAATAGGTATTAACAGGCTATCTGAAAATACTTAAAAAGTATCAGTACTACTACTCTGCCTTAAGCAGGTATTGGTGCACCCCTAACAGCAAGAAAGCCAGTTATTTGTTGCCAGCTGTGTCCCTGGAATTGTCTTCACTTCCTGCCCTGGAAATGCAACAGGAAGTGAAAAGAAATGCAAGATTTTGTAAAATTTAGTTTCCCCAACACTATTATCTTTCAAAACTGCCTCCAGGACAAAAAAGGTCACTCAACTGGGAATACAGAGTGTATACACACACACACACACAGTTGTGTTTAAAATAGCAGTGTGTTGAAAAAAAGTGAATAAAGCTCAAAATCCTAATCGCTTTTATTTCCATACACACAAATGCATTGGGAAAACTACACATTCTATTCCAAATCCAAAAAACATGAATAGCAAAATTTGTGTTCCTCTAAAACAATTGAAGAAAAAGTGATTCGACTGTTCAACAAAAATAGCAGTGTTTGTATTCTTCTTTACAAACTCAAACATTCACTATATAAACTGAAAAATGTTTGAAGATTTTGCTTTCCTTTGAAATCACTTAATATTTAGTTGTATAAGCTCTGTTTCTGAAAACTGCTGTACATCTGTGTTGCATGGAGTCAACCAACTTCTGGCACCTGTGATCAGGTATTCCAGCCCAGGATGATTGGACTACATTCCACAGTTCTTCTCTATTTCTTGGTTTTGCCTCAAACTGCATTTTTGATGTCACCCCACAAGTTTTCTATTGGATTAAGATCCGGGGATTGGGATGGCCACTCCATAACGTCAATCTTGGTCTGGAACCAAGATGTTGCACGTTTACTGGTGTGTTTGGGGTCGTTGTCTTGTTGGAACACCCATTTCAAGGGCATTTCCTCTTCAGCATAAGGCAGCATGACCTCTTCAAGTATTCTGATGTATTCAAACTGATCCATGATCCCTGGTATGCGATAAATAGGCCCAACACCGTAGTATGAGAAACATCCCCATATCATGATGCTTGCTCAACCATGCTTCACTGTCTTCACAGTGTACTGTGGCTTGAATTCAGTGTTTGGGGGTCGTCTGACAAACTGTCTCCGCCCACTAGACCCAAAAAGAACAATCTTACTTTCATCAGTCCACAAAATGTTGCGCCATTTCTCTTTAGGCCAGTCAATGTGCTCTTTGGCAAATTGTAACCTCTTCAGCACACGTCTTTTTTTCAACAGTGGGACTTTGCGGGGGCTTCTTGCAGATAGCTTGGCTTCACATAGGCGTCTTCTAATTGTAACAGTACTCACAGGTAACTTTAGACCTTCTTTGATCTTCCTGGAGCTGATTGTTGGCCGAGTCCTTGCCATTTTGGCTATTCTTCTATCCGTTCGAATGGTAGTTTTTCGCTTTCTTCCACGTCTTTCAGGTTTGTGTTGCCATTTTAAAGCATTTGCAATCATTTTAGCTGAGCAGCCTATCATTTTCTGCACTTCTTTATATGTTTTCCCCTCTCCAATCAACTTTTTAATCAAGGTATGCTGTTCTTCTGAACAATGTCTGGAACCCATTTTCCTCAGAATTTCAGAGAGAAATGCACATTAACCAGCATGTACAACATTTGCTGCCTTCCTTCCTTAAATAAGGGCAATAATTGTCACCTGTTTTTCAAAGAATGAATGACCTCACTAATAGAACTGCACACTGCTATTATTTTGAACATGCCCCTTTCAATTAGTGATTCAATTACACAGAATCAGCAGCATGCATGTCATGACTGTTGGATTTCTATTACTCTACTATACCTGCTAGTAAATTATTTGCCATGTAAAAATATCTCTACCAAAAACAGTGATTGATCAGGTTAGTGATGTCTGCCTGCTATTATTTTGAGTATGTATGTATGTATGCATGTATGTACACACACACACACCTTAATTTCCCCATCCAGAAAAGTTGTGTGTATACAGCAACTAACATAAGTCTGTATGTGGATTATAAAAAAGGAGAAAATGTAATGTGTTTGCTGCAATCCCTCAACCCTCCCCAGCATATTTTGCTTTCCTTCCCTCCTCCACAACTCCATTAAGCCAAAAGGAAATAGCCAGCAAATCCAAGTTTAGAGAAGCATGTGACCGTATTGGCTTGAACTGTGCTGTCACAAGACAAATCCATAGCCCTGTGTAAGCTAGGACTCCAACTCCACTCCTGCATGGCTTTGCTTTCACTTTGAACTGAACCGACTGGCTGGAGAGCAAAAAGAAAGCAGGTATGCGTCTTTGGAGGATCTCCATTAAGGTGAACCTGTTGCTTTATCCTGCATGGGCATATTAACGTCCCGTGTTCCTTTCTGCAAGAATGAAGGTCGATTTCTATTAAAGAGAACCAGTCAAGCAAACACATGGGATGCAACCATCATCTGCAGTGATCTAAAACAATTACAAAAACCAAGAAAGTGCTGCAAGCCACAACGGACAAATGCTTGTTTCTGGGCATTTCACAGGCTGCAGTTTCTGGAATATCACACCATCCATAGGACTAGGAAATGCAGTTATGTATAGGGCCCAATCATTGTTCAAAAGGCATTTTTTTTTTTTTTTTTTTAAGTACCCATATGTTAGAACCATGTGAACAATCACCAGAAAATCATTTGGCTGGAAAAGGACATTTGTGATATATCTACCTGTGTCTTTGTCTGGATCTCTTCCCTGCTGTATAGCCACCAGCTTATCGCTGACCATTTTGTGCAAGCTTCCAGGAATCTAACAAAAAAATAAATTAAAAATTACATAAGCCTAGAATGTTGCATTACTATATCCATCCGCAGCTCTGGTGTGCCAACCATCAGACTGACTATTTTTATTACAACTGTGGTTTGGGACCAAATGGAAAACAAAAAATTGTAGTGATGGACCAATTGGAAGGCTCCATGTGTTCAAAAAACTAATATTTGTGCAGGTAAAGACTTGTGCACACAGGACGTCAAAAACAAAAAACTTTTACAGGAGTTAAAGGGACATTTATTAGGTATAAAAAAAAAGTCAAATGTACCCATGCACAAATCTGAATTTACAGGCAGGAAAATTTAGAGGCAAAGAAATTCACCACGAGCGCCCTTCAGGAGAGAAGAGTGTTGGGGTGGGGGAAGCGCCAAATCACGCATTAAGGCCATCATGTTTATGCACGTTCATGCATTAATTTCAATAGCCAGAATCAATATTCTGGCCACGTGCACAGCAAAAACAGCTTTTGGAACTTTTATCCAGTTGATTTTTCCCTCCCATGGAGCAAAGGCATCTATGGGAGCAAAAAAACAAAAAACGTGTGCGCATGAGGTCTTAGCAACTGAGATCCATCACTTGCCAAATTCCCTGGGAGATTAACTTTTTCAGCATCATAAAGCACTTGGAAACAAAACGATTCTCTCAAGTCTTCCTAAATGTAGAAACTGCACCTCAACCCTTGTAAGACCCTCTTGCAGGGTTTTACCATTGACCACCCCTGTTTTCCTCCCCCACCCTCTGCCTATAGCCAGTGGTGTATTTTGGTTGTGTTGGGCTGCCCTAGGAAAGACTAAAATCGCCACCACCCCCCACCATCTAAGTTTGTCCCACCCTTACTATTTAAGATCCACCCTTAATCTAAACTCCACCTCTTCAGAGGAGGGTGCTATTACTTATAGTAGGGAGGGGGTTATTGATTATGATTGAGAGGCAGGGAGGAGGGGGGTATTTGGGGTTTGGGAACCCCACAGCTGCCAATCACTGCCCTGCACCACAAAACCCAGCATACCCCCCCACCCCCCCAGAATTTCTGCAGCAGCTGAAACACCCAGGGAAAGTTGTCAGAGGTGTGGGGGGGGAGGGGAGGGGGAGCCTGGCTCAGGGCATGACACCTTAGCACTGGGACACATTACTCACTGGACAGAGAAGAATACCACGCAGCCGCCCTGGGGAGGGGAACAGCAGAAAGACTGCAACTGAGCTAAGGGGGCACTATGCGGGGATACGTAACCCCTGCCGCTGCTGTAGCGCCTGACAATATCTATGCGTGCAGTGTACACCCTGCACCCATGGATGATATGCCAGTGGCCTGGGGGAGGTGCTGCCCCCCCCCCCCCCCCCAAAAAAAAAAAAAAAAAAAAAAAAAGACCCACTGAAGGCACCTTGTTTGCCCCACAGCAGATATACCCCTGCCTACAGCCACTGTTTTTCGACCAAGAGCAAAATGGAAGTTGACCCAAATCAAAGAATTCGTCATCCAATAAAATCTTCTTTGAATGATTATGGTACTTGGTACCGTGTCACAGAATAAGTTCACATTATCCAAACATATCAACCTAGTTACCTTGAACACATCCTTGTGGTGGTCCAGCAGGAAAAGCACCAGCAAGTCAGACTTTCCCTTGGACAGATTCTTGTGGTCGACAATGGCACGAGAGAACTTTCTCTTTACAGTCATTCGGTTTTCACTCTGAAAAAAAAAAAAAAAAAAAAACCAAAACAGTTATTTGAAAGAATCACCCCCTCGGCACAAAAGTCTTCCTCAGCATTGCTCACATTTTACGACAGACAGAAACACAAATAGTTTGGTTTGAAATTCAGAATACTTTGCTTCTTCTGAGCAGTTCTCATATTTCCATTGCCTTTAGGCTGCATTTATTTTACTTTTAAATTTAAAAAGGAGGATCAAAGGCTACACTCATGCAAGATTATTCTATATTGTTTCCACTCAACCCTAGCGACTCCAGGCAAGTATAGAAGAGTACATCTTAAAGCACAACTGCTGAAAAAAACAGCTGGATTAAAAAGGGAGCCATTTTACCGGTCATAAGATTTTTCGCTTCTACTCCTGACCATCCAGTCTGTCACACAGCACAGCTGTCTAGCAGGACAGACCTAATTTTTCTCTACTTCTGTAACACTTATAGGTCTGGTTCCTCCTCCAGTCTAACTGGAAAGTTAGAGGAGACTGATGAGCTTATATGTCATTCTGCCCTCTCCTCCTAACAGCATGCCCCTTTTAATGCACATGTACTGCTGCACAACTGACTGGTTCCTTGTGCCGCTTTTCCTCCCTTGCCCAATCTGAGCTCTGCTGTAAAGGAATTTATGAGGCTAATATTAAGCCAAAGTTTAGACACTTGCAATGCTTATTTATAAAAAACACATTGAATGATGAATTCGGGCTTGTGTACACATGTACATAAAATGCTGTATTCAAGTCTACACTGCATCATTTTCAATGACTGCAGACAGGTGGTCAATCTGTGCCTGCGTTGCCATGTGAAAGCCATTCAGGGTGCCCAACGGGGTGATGTAATCAAAAAAGTGAATGCCCATATAGCTGCTCATTCACATCTCAACTCATATGAAGTAAATTTTTATTGTCCAGATGAGTGGGGACAAACTGACTTTACGCAGATCTTTCTGCCAGCAAGATCCTGCATAAACTTTCAGCACCCATGTGCACAAGCACTTAAAAATTAATGAAGTGTTATTTTCTGTTTGGAGATCAGCTTTAATCATTATTCATTTGTTTTTAGAATGGAGGGGGGGAACCCGCACCACATAAAAGTCAACCCCTTCCCACCAACACCTCCCGGCCCTTTATGAGCTTCTAAATACCAGGAGGCAGAGGTGGACTTTCAAGGTCATGTGACCGCTGTGATTTGTGATCACACAATCAGAAAGCTCCCGATCGCAAGTTTGCATCGGAAGCTTACCAATCCCTGCCGGCCACCATGCTGGGCTGCCAAGGGTAGTGCTTTCATAAAATGGCTCAAAAAAGTTGGGTGCCAGCTGCAATTTCTCACACTGACTTTTCTAAGAAGAAACCTGCTTCTTACAACTTTTCACATCCACCCAAAGCCGGTACCTCTTCTTGAAGTCTAAACTCTGAGGGCTCTGCAGCAATGGCCATGAAATAGAGCAGACGTCTGAACTCCTCCCGGCTGTGAGAATCCAGGAGCTTCAAACACAACTGTGTGGCTTCCAGTGCTTGTTCCATCTTTCCATTAACTGAAAAAGTACAAAATGGAGTTTAATGAAACTCAGGAAGATCAGAAAAGCAAGCGTAATAGAAACTAGCTAGATCAAAGAGGTGCAAATACTTGAAGGTAAACTGCAAAAGCTTACCTTCAGTATTTCACAGGTGTACAGGTTCCTCTACTGTACTGAAATGGCTCTAGAACCCACCTCTGAGAACATCCAATATCTAGTCTTTCCTACTCAGCCTTCCACTCCCTGGCTCACCCTTTCTACTCATTGGATCTCAATTTTGAAATTATGAAGTCTCAGCATCACATCCACATTAACTAAAATGATCTGCATGCAAAATGAAGCCTGCCTAGGAATATTCACTGCTGAAGACCCACATCCAACCAAAGCTCCAATCAAAAGCGCAAAACCAGAAGGGTTTTTTCCTACCTCTAGATATTGAGCTTAAAATATGCCTCTAATCATCCTAATGTGCATGGAGACATAGGATAACACTGAGCTGCTTTTACAGGCAAAGAAACTCCGGTAGAAGTAGCAACTTCAACCAGTGTGCATGGAGCCTTATACTTGTCCAACTCCCCAAAAGTCAGCTCACTGCTTGTATTAGAGCGGAGAGCTCATGAGAGGTAGGGCGAGTGATTTTTTTCAGAAGACCATGAACAGCTTTTCGCTGATCTCTCCCACCAGCCATTGCATAGGAAAGCTGAGACCTGGTGAGGACATCACTGGGTCTAAAACCAGGTATATAGTAGAAATTGGTTTATTTAAGCTAAGCATGTTGGTGAAGGGAAGGAGGGTGAAGGGCAAAATAGAAGCAGATCAGCTTCAAAAGGAAACCTGAAGACTTACATTTTGAAAGCAACCTATCCTTTTGAGAATATTCATACAAAATGTCATGATGGTATGTCTTTGCAAGTACAGGGATGAAGAATTCTAAAACCTGACACTCGCAGCATGCTAGTGCCAGGTACTGAAGCCAAACAACTGGGCAACTAGCATTTTCAGATTTCCAACAATGGCCACAAAGTCATCCCCCATACTTGTCTCATGACAGGAAGTCTTTGAAGGAAACCAAACAGGAAAAAATATGGAGTGTATGGACCACTCTGAAAATGAAAGTTGTTGGCTGCTTCTGGCATGGATACTACGAAACATTGACTGAACAAGCATGTTATGAAGTCAGAATTACTGGTAAGCATACTTGTTCCAAGCCACTGACCTAAAGGTCCAAAGCCATTGGATGACCATGGCAGCCAGAAAACCAGTATATTAAAAGGGATCAGTGGCAGCCTCCTTCCCAAAAAGCACTAATTGTGCCAATTCTGATTTTGAAAATGCTAGCTTCCTTGCTGTGATGCTGATCCAGTGACTTTTCTGTGCTTTCCAAACAGTCAGCAATGGTAGCCTTCACACCTCAATAGATTTCTTTTAAGTATAGTTAATGCAGCTAGGTTATTTTTGACTAAAAGGCACGAATGTCTGTTAGTTGGTGGCAGTTTCTGCATTTTTCATTTTGCTCAACACAGAAAATCAACTGAGCATTCATAAACATTAAAAAATGAAATGACAGAAAACAGCACGCCAGGATCAAACGTGTTACATCATGTAGACCAATCATTTAAGACTCCATGCTCATCCTTCAGATCTACCATACAAGGCAGATGGCTTGAGAACAGAGAATGTGACAAACCCCAGAGCTGTTAGTTTTACAAACTGGGAAGGAACTTTTCTTTATCTCAGGTCAACGTCACCGTAAAGTGTTGCTTGGTTGAAATCCACATGAGCAACTGTCAGCCTTTTACGAAAGCAACAGCCTAGCTAAACTAGTTAGGCTGTTAAGTCATCATGGTAGACTGCACGCCTTCCCTGCCTCCCCTTCCCCCATAGTGCTCTATGCAAGATAGAAAAAGAATATGGCTACAAAGCTAACCACCATTTAATGGAAGTCCACAGCACACTATTGATAGAGACCCACACATCCATCAGGGGCATGTGATTGGATGCAGTGATAAAGAACAATGACGAACTGTTTCCACATAGCAGATCCACTTTGCCAAGTAATACTCCGTAAGGCATGGACAGTGCATCTGGCCAGACATCTAATGTCTATGGGTTTATTAAAACAAAAACCAGACAATTGAAGGAGTTGCCATTACCTAAAAAAAAAAAAAAAAAAAAAAAAAAAAAAGGAAATAAATGTGGGTCTGGCTGTGATCCCACCTCTGGCTTCACTACCCAAGGAGTTGACCTATATTTATCATGCCAACAGCAGAACAGCTCAGCCTGGTTGATAGTCCTACCAAGTTAGTTACTTTTAAAGCTAGTCTGCTAGAATAGCCATGATTATAAAAAGAACACTAATGTTGATCCAGGGAGATACGATTGCCTTTTGGGGATCTGGAATTAAATTTCTTCCCTGTTGCAGCACATTGGACCATGTATTATAAAAGGGTTTTGTCTTCTGGATCAGCTCCAAAGTTTGGGTTCAAAAGAATGCAAAGTGTTTTTATTTCTTGTCTTTTGGTTGAACAGTACAGAGCCTTCTCTCCATTCAGCTATACAACATGTCGAATCCACTAAATATTGCCATAATTACGGGTGAAAGAAGTGGAAATGTACTGAAAGTTGGCTGTCTGAAGTGACAACATCCTACAATTAGTCACTGAAGCCATTCAAGCACTAGAGTACATAAATTGTTTGCTCAACACCTCTACAGAACTGAAGCACTTTATCTGCAAGTTAACTTGGTCTTATCTCACGTTCTCTTGTAACTTATTTAAACAGCTTGTCATTTGCTATTAAATAGTTTGGTAACCATGTTCTGGATAATGCACTTTAAACTCTCTGAAGCATCCCCTGAGGTATAAGCGTACATGCTAAAAAAGGGAATTCGTGCTTTCAAAGTGGATCTGAAAATGCCAAAATCTTGCTTAAGTGTCAAGTCCTAAATCTGACCAGTCAAGAGCTTGGTTGAGGCACACCCCACCACAAATGCTTAGTCAGCCAAAGGTCAGGTATTGATGTAGGATGAGCAAACCTAACTTGCAATTTGCGTTCCAGTTCATCCCAAAGGTGTTCAGTAAACTTGAAGTCACAGAGTTCTGTGCAATCCACTCTAGTTCTCCACCATAAAGACTTTATGAATGTGGCTTTGTACCCGCCAATGGAATCAAACTCAACATGGTCTTGGAATAGATTGTCCAGGTTCATAGGTGATGGTCAGGTAACCTGATTTTGCCCATAAAGTTTATGGCTGTTCGCAAAGTTATTCCAGATACTGGTCGTAATCATTGTTGACCACCATCTTTCATAACATCTGTGGTGTCAGGCTTAGTTTACTAGCCGACAGACCAGAAGATTGTTTACCTCCGATGCCCAGAAGTCAAGAGGTTACCTGTAAAACACTCAAAAAAAGGGTGATTTGTGAAAAGAAATTCACAGAGAAAGCGGCTACATTATGAACAGAACGTGACACTCAGAAAAAATTTCCAAAAATTATGCTTTATTACACATATATAAATATGACATATGGGCGTTCGCCCTGGTTTACCATCACCTCAGTATGAGACAATACACACAGACCTAAAACCATATAAAATGACATCAAGACCGGTCTAAATGCATGTGCAACAGAAGAAATGACTGCAGGAGTCTAATGTCCCTGTAGCACAAACACATAGGTGAACACTTCCCAAAAGAGGTGTATCAAAAAATTATACCATAGGCATACCATAATGTTAAATATTATATGTAGAACAATACCATTATGGTGAATCCCAATCAGGGAATCCAAAAATTGTACTATGGAAAAATATCACATATATACAATGCAGCAAGCACAATAGGCGTCAAGAAGAGAACAACAAGCCTCAGGCCTGTATGGGGGGAGACATAAATGTCAAATATATAATGCAATTCATTCCTGTGCCGGCACAAGTGGTTGGGGCCCATTCATCTGTAATATAAACAGCTGTATCCTAGAGCTCTTGAATGAAATAATGCCCCATTTATTCCCAGGGTGGAAGAAAAGATGCAAAAAACAGCACTCTGCTAGAAATGGTATCTTCACCACTATATGTGGACTACACACCACCTTTCGTAGGGAAAACAGGACATATCCCAAAAGATCTTCTGCCCGTTTGAGATATATATGGTATATCCTGTACTATTCCTATACAAAGCACCATGATGTCCCCATCCTGTAGTGAGAAAAATGGTATGTGGGAAGTCACTGACAGAGTATACACTCAATAAGATATATAGGTCATATAGATCACAGAGGACCATATATCTAATGTCCTGTAACAGTCCACTCACCACCTGTGCTGTGGGTATTAGGAATGAAAAAGATGTCCTTCATGGGTACTGCCATACACGGCCACAGAGGCCTAGGAACCACCGCTGACATCCGCCGATATAACCGCGGGTTCCAGCCCCTTCTTGGCGCTTGTGCCAATGCTCACACTTAAAATGCCTCATGGCATATGAAGATGGCTTCCTCCTTATGGTCAGCAATGGTGCGTTCCACCTAATGCGCATGACCGGAAGTGACGTTATCTGACGTAAAAAGACGTCAACGCGTTTCGCCGATGGGCGTATCTCACTCAGCTTCGTCAGGACCAAATGGTCCTGACGAAAAAATGAGTGAGATACGCCCATCGGCGAAACGCGTCATGTAGACGTCATTTAACGTCAGATACGTCTACCATCCGGTCAGATGCGCATTAGGTGGAACGCACGCTGACCCATAAGGAGAAGCCAACTCTTCATATGCCATGAGGCAAGTGTGAGCAGCACAAGCGCCAAGAAGGGGCTGGAAAGCCGCGGTATATCGGCGGATAGTCAGCGTTGGTTCCTAGGCCTCTGTGGCCGTGTATGGCAGTACCCCTGAAGGACATCTTTTTCATTCCTAATACTAACCACATTTAATGGAAGTCCACAGCACACTATTCATAGAGACCCACAACCATCAGGGGCATGTTTTTGACAGTGATAAAAAAACATTAGATATATATCAGTCCCACTTTGCCAAGTGAATCTATATGTAAGGCTATGGACATTGCTTATTGGCCAGTGTACACTAATGTCTATGGATTAAAACAAAAACACATACCATTGAAGGAGTTTTCATTACTACAAAAAAAAAAAAAAAAAAAAAAAGGAAATTAAAATGTGGGTGGCTGTGATCCCATCTGGACTACAAGGAGTTTACCTATATTTATCTACAACGGCAGAACATCTTTTGGGATATGTCCTACCAAGTTTAGTTACTTTTAAAGGTGGTGCTAGTAGTCCATGATTATAAAAAGATACACTAATTTTGAGCAGGGAGATGCGATTGCTTTTGGGCATCTTAAATTTCTTCCACCCTGTTGCAGCACATAAATGGGGGCATTATTTCATTCAAGGGTTTTGCTCTGGATCAGCTCCAAAGTTTATATTAAAAGAATGCAAAGTGGGCCCATTTCTTGTCTTTTGGTTGAACAGTACAGAGCCTTCTCTCCATTCAGCTATATACAACATGTCGAATCCACTAAATATTGCCATAATTACGGGTGAAAGAAGTGGAAATGCTTGAAAAGTTGGCTCTTCTGAAGTGACAACATTGTGCAATTGCTGAAGCCATTGTATACTATGAGTACATAAATTTTTGCTCATACCTACAGAACTTTGGATTCACACTTTATTGCATTAACTAATGGTATTATCTCACGTTCTACTTGTAACTTATTTAAACAGCTTGTCATTTGTATTAAATATTTGGTATACCATGTTTGGATAATGCACTTTAAACTCTCTTTGAGGTATAAGTGTACATCACCTAAAAGGGAATTAGTGCTTTCAAAGTGGACATTGAAAATGCCAAAATCTTGCTTAAGTGTCAAGTCTTCTGACCAGTCATGAGCTTGGTTAGGCACACCCCACCACAAATCTTAGTCAGTCAAAGGTTAGGTATTGATTTAGGTGAGCAAACCTAACTTGCAATTTGCGTTCCAGTTCATCCCAAAGGTGTTCAGTAAACTTGAAGTCCAGGGCTGTGCAATCCCTCTAGTTCTCCACCATAAAGACTTTATGATATGTGGCTTTGTACCCGCCATGGAATCAAATAATTGGTCTTGGAATAGATTTCCAGGTTCATGGTGATGTCAGGTTCTGTTTTGCCCATAAAGTTTATGGCTGTTCGTGAAGTTTCTTTTCACAGATCTGGTCTTTTTTTGACCATGCCTCTTTCATAACATCTGTGGTGTCAAATTAGTTTACTAGCCGACAGATAGAAGATTGTTTACAACCTCTTAATGCCCAGAAGTCTTTACCTGTAAAACACACCTGTATAGCTTAGCTTGTATTTTGTGGGCCACATGTGCCTCTGCAAGTCGTCCTATCCAGCCCCAGCTGTTCCCCAGTTAAAGGAAGAGTTCATCTTTGGGTACATGTAATAAGCTCCCAATGCTGTAGCCGCTGCCCAATTTTCCCACCACCCACCCTGTGAAAGCAGTACTGGGAGACTTCCGCACTAGCTGGCACTTTTTATAAACAGTGCGGCTCTCCGCCCACACAGCCATGTTATTCATTCACATAGTTCTGTGAATTAATGAACTACAAGTACCGACATACTCTGCTGATGTCAGCTTGTAGTTCTCAATGAACTACCACGGCTTTGTGGAGTGTCGTGGTAGTTCATAGATTCTTCTTGTCAGTATCTGCTTGCCCATATGGAATGTATGATGACCAAGCAGATATACTGACAGGTCTGCAGGAACCCTGCATGGAACCAGTGAACTGTTGATCGCTGGTGCAATGTTTTACAGGTTCCTGCAGAAAAAAAAAATAAAAAAAATTGTAATTATATATATATATATATATATATATATATATATATATTATTTTTTTTTTTTTTTTTTTTTTTTCGTCAAAAGGTGACCTTATCGTTACAACATTGCAGTTTGATACATTTGGAAAGAATATTGATTGGACCCTTTCCCGGGGATAAATGTATGTTGTATAATAAACATTTTAGTAAAGATTTCATCAAAGTGCTACAAAGCTTTTCCATAAAATAGTGTTAATCTGAAAATGTGTAACCCCCCCCCCCCCCCATGAAAAGGTCTCCTTCACCAGGTTTGTTCCAATGCTTTGTGACATGCTGAAGACAAACTGCCGTGTATTAACTCTAGCACCAATGTCTGTCCAAAGGACTTGTGCTAATGGGACAGCCTGTCCTCCTACAGTTAACAACAGATCTTGCCAATTGGGCTCATATGCACAAGGGATCTTAAAGTTGCAAACTCCAAGAAGGATTTTGTAATGTAAATACAGTTTCATGTCTTGGCTTCTAAACACTTACCTAAAAGCTCAGCAATGCCCGAGTGAATGTCAAAGAATGGGTTGGTAACAAGAGGAACCCTGTTCTGGCTGTAGTACTTGCTGATGGTCTCAAACAGCAGCAGTTTCCAGGACCTGTCTTTGTCAGGGCATTCAGGGAGATTTCGGCTCACATCCACAACAATCTGGTCCGGGAGGAACTCCAAACAGTCCACTGCTGCTGAAACCCATTCGTCCGCCCTGCCACAAAAAAATAAAAGCTTCATAAAAACCACAGCTGACTTGCATTTCTTGCTCAAAGCTTTAGGGAAACCTGTGCGTTTCTCTTTGCAGAGTAAAGCACTAGGTTTTACATTAGTGTGAGCATGGGAACACTTTAAAGACAGTGTTCCAAGAGTGGATGAGATGTTGTAGATCTGGTTCTGCTACTGTTCTGTCCTGCTTCATTGAAACACTGCCTAAAGCAAAAAAAAAAAAAAAAAAAAAAAAAAAAAAAAAGGAACTGCAGTGCTGCAGGGACAATGAAACCACCACCCAAGACACTGACTTAAAGGATCATGGAGAAGCCAAGTTAAACATTTTTGGGATAGATCGGATTATGTAATGAATTTTAGTTGGCACCTGACCACAGGGTGGAACTTTCCATATACAAGGCAAGCTATAGAAAGAGCAAAAAATTTCCTTCAACCATGAGTTGCAGGAAAGAAATTCACTGGATTCCCCCATCAGCCACTGTTGACAGGGGAATCCCTCCTGCAAAGCCATTGTATTCTCCTGGTGGTGTGGGGGGGGGGGGGGGGGGGGGAGAAGCCATCCCTAAAGGGGAAAAAAAAAACCATGGATTATTGCTAGTGGCTATACCAGCTGCTAACAATAACCGCACGTAAAATGCACATGTAAAATACAGTGTACATTCAGCCTGCCCATACATGGTTCAATTTTCGGCCGAGAATCGAACAGTCTATGGCTGGCTTAAAGGAAAACCCATTTATCTCTACCATCGGTTACACTGGAAGAACAATCCCCAACCAAATCCCCTTCTTGCCCCCACCCAGAAATAGCAGCAATTTGTATAATAAACACTTTAGAATTGCTTTGATCAAAGAGTAGAAAAGAATGGTCTTGTCACTTACTGAGAGTCACTGAATGCCTTGAGGATTTCTCGGTCCAGATAGTGGGAAGCAATGAGTAGCTCTTCATTCTTTGTTGGCTGTGTTTTAGGCATGGCAGGAGTACCCTCCAATAAAGAGTCCAGAATTGGGAGGTCCACTAGCTGCAGTAGTCGGCGAATTGTTTGTTCCTGCCAGACTTCACTGAGAACTTAAACAAAAACCACACAAAAAAAAAAAAAATGAATGCATGTTTGCGGTCAAGCAAATTTAAACCCAAGATCACCAATGCATATATTGCAGCTTACAACGTCTTGCATATGGAGGTGCATTAAATTTACTTTTTTCAGGCCAAGTATATTTTTTGCAAGTACAGGATATCTCCTATAGCATAGCTTGAAATTTGGTGGTGGTGGTGGTGGAGGGGGAAGGGTGTCCCCCAGGGCCGCCTTGCTGAGCAGGCTCGGAGCTCAGGCCGGATCTGTCATTGGCACTGGGAGCCGTCAGACTGCTCAATAGTTGAGCAAAGTGAAAGCAAAGGAAGGAGTGTGCTGTGCTCTCTGCCTCCCCCTAGAATGCAGTACCCGGCTCTGTGAGTGAACAACGAATCACTCCAACGTTTTGGGGGGGGGTGTTTGTGTCTGTATGTGCATTTATTTATCTCAGGTACTTGTATAGCACCATCACTTCACACACACACACACACACACACACACACACACACACACACACACACACAGTACATTCACATCAGTCCCTAACCCTCAGGGACAAAATCTAAGGTCCCTAACTTACATTCATACATATACATACTAGGGCCAATTTAGACAGGAGCCAATTAACCTACCGTGGTGGGGATTCGAACCAATGACCCTAGTACTGCCAGGTGGAAATGCTAACCATTTAGCCACTGTGCCGCCCAACACATGTACAGGTGTGTGTATGTACATGTGTCTGTGCGTGTGTATTTACATGCCTGTGTGTATATATGTGTACATGTTTCTGTGTGTGTATGTACATGTCTGTGTGTGTACAGGTGTCTGTTGGTGTGAGTAACTCTTAAAGCCTGACTAGCAGCTCAGGACTTGAAATTTTAAGCCCTGGCCTATAGTTTCTGCCAAGATCCAGTTGTACTTGAAACGTTCAGTGCACTAAACTGATCTCAAATGATGTTTTCCCAGACATCTTCTGCTGACTACAACAACTCTCCTTACGTAATGAAGAGGTTTGGTTTGCAGTCAAGAGAAGAGCAGCCTAGGGTGACAATGCTGCTCCTCCACAGATACAGTAAGGAAGGAGAGTGTGGCCACCCGAGGACAAGGTAAGTGTGCTACTGGTTGGATCACTGGGTGAAAGGCACATCCTTAACTAGTTGCCGACCGCAGATAGCCAAATGACGGCTGCACTGCGGCCGGCCAGTTCTGGGAGGCCGTCATATGAAGTCCTCCTAGAACACGTTCTGCGCACCACCAGGGGCGTGCACCGGTGATCTCGGTGTCTTACTGACACAGCTGATCACATGATGTGCTAAAAGGCCAATCACTGCGGCCTTTTACTATGTGATCAGCTGTGTCCAATGACACGCTGATCACCGGGAAATGCAATTGCCAGTTCTCGGCTGCACTCTCAAGCTGTCAGAGCGTGAGGAAAAGTACTGCCGAAAACCAGCAGTTATCAGCAGGGATCAGCACTGATCATCAGCCCACCAGTGTTGCCCACCCATGCCGCCCCCTATCAGTTTTCCCTATCAGTGCAGCCTCATCAACGCACATCAGTGAAGGAGAAAAATTACCTTTTTGCAAAATTTTATAATAGAAACAAAAAAACTTCCAAGTGTTTTGCTTTTGTTTTTAGCGTAAAAAAACCCCCCCCCAAAAAAAAAAAAAAAAACCCAGTGGCAAATAAATACCACCAAAAGAAAGCTCTATTTGTGAGGAAAAAAAATATTAAAAAAATAAAAAATTTCATATGGGTACAATGTTGCATGACCGCGCAATTGTCACTGTTGCACTGACTGCGCAAAGTTGAAAATTGGCCTGGTAAGGAAGGGGGTACAAGTGCCCGGTAGGCAAGTGGTTAAAGAACAGTAATGCAGTCATCACATCCAAGAACTGATAAGCTGTAATATTTTGCATTTATTTTTGCGCTTTGACACACATCAAGGTACTAGTCTCTGCATGAAACTGTAGAAAAAATTATTAAAGCCTTTACTGGGTCTCTAGTACTTTTTAGAATGTTCCAACTTTAAAATGACCCACCATGGAATCACATGCACTGTAAAGCACTCCAAGATCTGATGGAAAGGTCTTGGTGGACTTGGGACAGTACATGTAGTGCTGCAGAACAAAAACATACAGAGTGTCATCTTCCATTTAAAAGCCCGTATGGTGTGCAGACTACAATCACCACCATTGTAATACAAAGGACCTTTTTAGAGATTTCCTTCCACAATCTTGAAGCCAAAAACTGACAGATAGTCAAGTGAAGTTACACATAAACCCTTCCTTTCATGGACTTACTAAGCTCGTCATTATACTTTATAATGAACGTGACAACAAGAACTGAACAATGCCATAAACTGTGCCTTGGTCAATAGAAGTGTTTGTTACTAGTCTGGCAGCAGATTTGCCCTGGAGGCAAATATTTCAGGTTTCTTAAATTCTTTATTAAGTGGGTACAGTAACCCAACGTAATCATTCAGTGCTTTAATCATTACAAGTAATCAGTCAAAGCATGCAATTTTAGTATTGATCAGATTTTTAACAATTACTCGTGGAGTTCTTGAAAACACTGAAAATGAAATTAAAGGTCACTTCTTACCTTCTTGGCAGAAAGTAGAATTGTAGAAAGACCATGTAAAAAAAAAAAAAATTAAATTTAAAGCACTATAAACCTTCCTACATGCACTTGGAGTTTGTTTTTACCTGCATAGGATGTACACTGCTCATGTAGTTTCAAGGTGTCATTTGTTGGCCTGTGTGCCGTTACTAGTAGACTAATCATTACATTCCGGTATCAGAAACGTGTTCAAACATGAGGTTTGGCTCAACCAAAACTAGCACAGCATTCAGAGAGCTTACCATGCTGGAAGAAGTGTGTTTTTTTTAACATGTTAGCACTCCATTTGTGATGCAACACAAGGATTGGAAAGGCTGTGTGACCCAGGACAAGCTACCTGTCCCTTTAGTGAACAGAGACAAGCTAGGTGAATGAATACATGGGCATTGGGGAATTGATCTGCCGTGATAGAACTGCAGCCACAACATGCAAGGCCAACATTACAAGGGAAGGCAAAAGACACACACACACACACACACACACTATATAAATAAAGCCACTTTGTACAAAACTAAACATTTTTGGGCTACAGTTGGGCTTAAACATACGGCCCAAAGTATTGCTTCATCATCCCATACATTCTTACCTTTGGGAGGTAGGTCTATGGGCAGATTCATCTGTGTTGGGTCAGCAGGTGTCAGACTGAGGTTATCCCAGAGATCTTCCAGGCTCTGTGACTGCAGAGGAGCGGACGGGAACCTGGCCTGTTCATGCCTGCCAGTGACAGATTACAGGTTAGTCAATACAGCAAGGTCACACGGCATTTAAACATACACCGCATGAGAGCTAGTTGCTGGAAATGAACAGTATATTACAGTATTTATGACAGCTGCTATATTCCAGGCACCAAATCTTTCTGCAGGTTGGGCAATCAAAAAGGGTTTTTGTGTTAGTGAATCTATAGGGCTAGGCTAGAAGAAAATCTGGCTTTAACAAAATCAAAAACACTTCACAGCCCATCTCTGGTCATAAAATCAGATAAAAGTCTTACTTATGACGAGCATTAAAGTGGAACTAAATTCCAAAAGCAGAACTTCACCCAGAAAAGGACTTTGCACTTGTTTGCATCCTCCCCCCACATTTGGCACTTTTTCCTGGGGGGGGGGGGGGGGGTACCTGGTTTTGGAAAGTACCCACTCCCAGTTAGATTGCCGGAGTGACTTTCGGCCCCTCCTTACCCCTGCAACCTTCAGGGACGCATCATGGGGCCTCAAAAGTCTGCAGGACCATTCACAAAAGCAGAGCGCAGCTTGTGCATGCGCAATAGGAAACCAGAAAGCTTCACCGCCAGTTTTCCTTCCCCAAGATGCCGGCGGTTGACTGAACTCAGATTGAAGAAGCAGCTCAGGTGAGAACATCGTTGGATCACTGGACAGGCAATGTCCTTACATTAAGAGTCAGCAGCTACAGTATTTTTAGCTGCCGACTTAATTTTTAATTTTTTTTGGGGGGGGGGGGGGGGGGATTGACAGGAGCTCCACTTTAAAAAATTTAAAAGCCAAGCAGCCAGGCTCTTTATTGCAGAAGCCCAGGGAAAAATCACCCACCAATTTATCCTGTGCCTTCAATAATGAATACAGTTACTAGTGTGCTTATGTTGGCCCTGAACCAAACTGTCAAGGCATGGCTGGTGTCAAAGCTGATCATATATACAGCACAATAGCAACTACAGAACCAACAGAAGCCAAGATGGCAGCTTCACTGGCTGTTAAGGATAGGAGGGTTTAGTTCTGCTTTAAGTCCAATTCAAATAAAATGGGAAAGGCTCCAAGCAGTCCATTAAGTGCCAGATTTCCCAATCTATTTCTAGGGAGACAGGTGAAATGCTATAGGGATCACTTCCACTTTTTCCTCTAATAGGAAAAACCCAAATACAGCTTCCTACAAAAAACTACCACTCCTTGACAAGTAAAATATTTGAATGCAAATAGAAAAAACACAGCGCCCAGGACCAACTCACTAACACCCTCTTTAAGTGAAATGCCGCTGTGCACAGGTATAAAAAACCAAAAAAAAAAAATTCTCAATATAAAACCAGTGCAAAACACACTAACTCACACCAATCAGTATAAGTGAGCAATAATAAACAAACATACTTTAGTATAAGCGTCAAAAAAAATATTAAAATTAAAAGTCCAGTGATACATACAAAAAAACAAAATTAAGAAAAAAATCAAGTGACCCATACAAAAATAAAAAGTCTAGTGACACATAAAAAAGAGAAAAAAAGTCCAGTGCCCCAAAGAACGTTTTCCTTTGATTGAAAATCTTCAATGCCTATAGTGATCCTTCCAAGTAAAATATTTGCTCTACAAACAAAGCAGAGGATGACCTTTACAAAAATGTGAGGGATGTACTCACTTCTGTGAGATACTGTATGAAAATTATGCAAATATTTGATTCTCTCTTTTCACAACACTGAAGAAATGACACTTTGCTACAATGTAAAGTAGTGAGTGTACAGGTTGTATAACAGTGTAAATTTGCTGACCCCCCCCCCCCCCCCCCCCCCCAAAATAACTCAACACACAACCATTAATGTCTAAACCGCTGGCAACAACAGTGAGTACACCCTTAAGTGACAATGTACAAATTGGGCCCAATTAGCCATTTTTCCTCCCCAGTGTCATGTGACTCGTTAGTGTTACAAAGTCTCCTGTGAATGGGGAGCAGATGTGTTAAATTTGGCGCGATTGCTCTCACTCCCTCATACTGGTCACTGGAAGTTCAACATGGCACCTCATGGCAAATAACTTAGGATCTGAACAAAAACTGTTGCACTACATAAAGATGGCCTAGGCTAGAAGATTGCCAAGACCCTGAAACTGAGCTGCAGCACGGTGGCAAAGACCATACACCGGTTTAACAGGACAGGTTCCACTCAGAACAGGCTTTGCCATGGTTGACCAAAGAAGTTAAGTGCTCAGCATCATATCCAGAAGCTGTCTCTGCAGCAATGCTGGCAGCACTCATATGTCCATTTCCCAGAGGTTGAAGGGGTGGGGGCTCAGCCTGTCAGTGCTCAGAGTATACGCCGCACACTGCATCAAATTGGTCTGCATGGCTGTCATCCCAGAAGGAAGCCTCTTCTGAAGATGATGCACAAGAAAGCCCGCAAACAGTTTGCTGAAGACAAGCAGACTAAGGACATGGATTACTGGAACCATATCCTGTGGTCTGATGACACCAAGATCAACTTATTTGGTTCAGATGGTGTCAAGTGTGTGTGGCAGCAACCAGGTGAGGAGTACAAAGACAAGTGTGTCTTGCCTACAGTCAAGCATGGTGGTGGGAGTGTCATGGCCTGGGGTTGCATGAGTGCTGCCGGCACTGGGGAGCTACAGTTCATTGAGGGAACCATGAATATCAACATGTACTGACATACTGAAGCAAAGCATGATCCCCTCCCTTCAGAGACTGGGCTGCAGGGCAACATTCCAACCCCAAACACACCTCCAATACGACCACTGCCTTGGTAAAGAAGATGAGGGTAAAGGTGATAGACTGGCCAAGTATCTCCAGACCTAAACCCTATTGAGCATCTGTGGGGCATCCTCAAATGGAAGGTGGAGGAGCGCAAGGTCTCTAACATCCACCAGCTCCGTGATGTCATCATGGAGGAGTGGAAGAGGACTCCAGTGGCAACCTGTGAAGCAGGAAGCCAGCCAGCTTTCTAGATCTAAAGGTTAGCTCACCATACTGGACCTCTGTTTTGATCACAACTGCAAACCCTCTGATATCACATTAGATTAAAAAAGGAACAGGTGCATCTGTTTACACTACAACCATTACAGCTAGTTTCTAAGAATTTAAACAATTGAATTGTCCGGCATCATTCAGCATACCTAGAATGATCTAGTTTGTACAACATGAATACTAACAAACCTCAGGCTACAAGCCTACCAGTAGAACTGCCTCAACTGGATAGATCAATACAAGACAGGACAGACCAAGATACGAGTGTAGCTTCTAATATCACAGCTCAGCCCGATTTATAGATTGTGGCAAATGTTAAAAATACATACACATTGACTCTCTATGAACACTAGCCTTTTTTTTTTCCTTTTAAGCTAAAAAAAAAAGCTGGATAAAAAAAAATTCTGGTAATAGTGGTTTTACAGTACATATTAGAAGAAAAAAAAAAAAAAAAAAAAAAAAACACAAAACAAAAAACCTAAAAAAAACACAAAAAAAAAACTGTTAGGAGTGTCTGCTGGAAAAAACAAACACTCTAAAAACATTTTTTTCTGCTCCTAGGTGCTGCAGCACAAAAAAAAAAAAATGCCAACAGCTTAAAGTAGTATGCATGAACACCACCATTTAGCTTCTAGGAGCAGAAAAAAAAAAAAAAAAAGTGTGTGCATGGAGCCATAGCATTAGTGCACACTGATGCAGTGCAGAATTTGCAGCGGTTTCTGTGCCAATTCCGCACCACATTCACAACCAGTTCATGCTCAAATCGCACCACACAGAAGTCACATGTGATATGTCACACCGCACAAGTGTGAACCCAGGCTTAAAGATTATAGTTTTAAACCGTTGCCAGATTTATAAAAGGGGCAAATCTGTACTTCTTTGATGTAGGTTTACTTTGTTACCAGTGAGCAACTTCTACCAGCCTATGGCTAAACCCCACCGCCTGCATTATTCCTGTCCAGCAAGTGCCCTAGATGAAAGAAGGCACTAGCGAAAAAACATGAAACTAAATAAATTTAGAGGAAGGCACAAAAGGAACATCTAGCTAGGTACAAAGAATGGCCTCCTATGCCTGCAGGAAAAACAAAAATTATAACATTTGCAGTAGCAATAATCAATCTAGTAAAATAAAATATATAATAAAGTTTTACTACAGAAATATCAGCATCACATGACAGGCCAACTGCCAATTTATACACAATGAAGATTTTGGTTCAAAAGTCCTGAGAATGTATAAAAGTTGTATAATTTTCATTAAAGAAAATGAAATTCCTGACATTCCTGGGGAAAAACTTAAATTTCAGAAACTTATCAAGGCAGATGATTTTTAAATACAACTCAAAGGCAAAAAAAAAATTTTCTTCTTTAGTTTTGGACAGAGTGGAGATGAAGTAGAACACCTTCCACGTTTTGATTGCTTTCTATGCCTCCGTTAGGGAGATTCACCCTATGTGTCCTGTTTATCATCAGTGAGTGAAAAAAAAAAAAAAAAAAACCAAAACGTTTTGCCTTCAGTTCTACTTTAATAAGTATATGTATAACTAAAACTTTGTTAGAAAAATTGGATAGAGTAGAATTTGTAAAGTTGAAGAGTAGAGTAGTCATTACAATTTTTATTGCTGTGCGTTCTGGCCAAGTAGCATTGTACTCCCTATGTGTACTGATGACCATGGACAAGACAATGGGAAATACATGTCAGTTGTTGCCAGAACAGGCAAGAGAAAAGAAAGAAAAAAAAAAAAAAAACCCTTCCAACTGGGTAGACCTCTTTGGGTGACAACGGTCAGAGGGAAATTCCTCATTGCAGAAAGTTTCACATCTTCCTGATAGGATGTGAAAGAAAATCTGCCCAGAAAGAAAAAGTTACAACTTTACAAACCCCTTAAGATGGGACAGCAGGGAGCCATATTTTAGAGGCAGCTGACCTTTTGACCAGTACCTGACAGACTACAAATTTATTTTTCTGCATTTTTATATTGAGAATGTATGTAAAACCAACAATGAACTGACACATTCACGTTCCTTATTTGACCGATGTAACAGGGAATGAAGTGATTGGAAACGGACAACTGGTGACCACTGTATGATTTTGGAACATGAGGAGAGGGTCATCTTCCCATGGGGGCACTTTGTGCAGCAACAACTGAGAGGGAACTTCTCTCACACTCAGCGAGTTCTAGAACAAGGTGTACAGTAGGGGGAATCAATGGGACACCAAAACACCCTACTATCTTAAATTCTAAAAGGCTGAAGGTTTGTTTTTTTTTTTTTTTTTTTAACTAGTAAAAGACCTGTGTGCAGCAGCCCCCCCTTAGTGCTTACCTAAGCCCTATCACAATTCAGCAATGTGCACAGGAGTCTCAGCTCTCCTGGTCTCTCCCTCCTCATTGGCTGAGAAACAGCAGCGGCAGCCACTTTATTATTTGGTACACTTGCTTGGTAACCGATTGCTAATCAGCCAATCACATGGCAGCAACGCAATGCATTTAGGCATCTGACAAGGTGAAGGCTACTTGAAGTTCAAACCCAGCATTAAAATGGGGAAGAAAGGGGATTTAAATGACCTTGAACATGGTTGTTGGTGCTAGACAAGCTTGTCTGAGTATTTCAAAAACGGCTGATCTACTGGGATTTTCACACAACCAGCTCTAGGGTTTACAGAGAATGGTCCGAAAAAGAAATAATATCCAATGAGTGGCAGTGTGGACGAAAACGCCTCGTTGAGGTCAGAGGAGAATGGGAATTCAATTTCAGCTGCGACATTCACGGTCGGGTCAGAATGTGGTGTAAACATGGATCCATCCTGCCTTGTATGAACGGTTCATGGTGGTGGTTGTGTAATGGTGTGGGGGATATTTTCTCGGCACTAGCAAGGTGTACCTAATAAAGTGGCTGGCGAGTATTCATTCCTGATATGGTATTTCTATAGCCCATTCCATCGGACTCAACATACCTCTGTGGCGTACATCGACCATGGCCCTTTTCAACCTGCCCAGTAGTACGATGTGGCACATTGAGGAATCTGTACAGGCTGCAGCTACTGTCTTCAAACACGGAGCGTTTCTTCTCTTTCCCAAAGACACACGTGCTCAATACGGATTCAAACACCTTACAGTCCATAAGAGCCTGGCACACCCGCACAACTTTGGAACGTGGGATGTCGGCATCACCAAAGTATTTGTGCTGCACCAGGTGAGCAAACACAACATCCACAGCATCGGAGCCAATGAAACAATCCGGGTGGGACTTCAAGTGGTGCCGCCGCTTCTTCACCTCCACCTGAGTGTGCAGAGCGTGGATGATGCTGCTCCAGATGTAGGTGGCTCGGAATGGTTTATTATTTAGGTTCGGACCTGGCAAAATGCAGGAAAAAAAAAAAAAAAAAAAAAAAAATTAACATGTTGGTTATATTTGTCAGTAATTTAGAAAATGTACAAATCGCGTGTTTTATTTGGATTTTTTTTTCTATACATGAATTCTTTTCAAAGGCTTCACCTACACTATTAGTCTGATCAATTTAGCAATGATTACACTGAAAGTTACTAGAGGGCGAAGCTACAAAATACAGCTACTTCTATTTGTTTTGGGTAGACTGACCCCTTAATAGTTTTACAACTAAAGTCATACTATGGCACAATGTATTCCTTGGATAGTAGCAGATTGACCTACCAGTTTTGTTGGATAAAACCATGTACGGAGAAATTTACCCTAGATCCCCAAAAAAAAAAAATCAAAAAAAAGTCTAACACCCCAAGCCCTATGATGGGGATACACAGTTAGAACCCCCAAATAACTCCTTGATGAATGTAAGCAGTAGCAAGCTTGCAGGGATGCCAGGAGCCCCCATGTTTCACCAACTAAACCTACAGGATAGGTTTCAGCCTGCAGTCTAGTTCTCATACACCCTGCTATGAAATATTACCAGCTTTACAATTGTACTTCTGAAAACCACAAATATATTTTACCAGTTGACATTTTTACTGGCAGAAATAACACTAAAGTTCCTTGTTCTTTAGAGAACAGCAGTCAATTCACGCACGGCTGTAAATCTCAAAGCAATTACACCGGTATTATGGTTGTGGCACAACTTGTGGTATTTAGGAGGGCAAATTAACTACTACAGGCTCAAGAGACTATAAAATACTTACAAAATCCAGGGGACCACCATGAAAAGATCTGTGCAGGACAAGCAAGCTGCAGACACATATCATGTATGTTTAAGTACCTATACAGGGAAGGGGGTATTACTGGATGACTATCATGGTGTAATGGACCTGTAAGCCATAAAAAAACCAAACAAAAAAAAACCAAACAAAAAACACACCACAAAAACCAAAAAACACAAAAAAAACTAAACAAAAACTACAAGTTCCACCTGCCACCACAGCAAGAAAGTGTAGCTCTCAATGGAGCACATGTGAAGAGAAGTTCCCCACAGTTTTAGTCCATTAATACTTCCTCCGCCCCGTAGCTGAAGGTCTATACCTCTGTACGGACCTGGAGAAAAGTCTACAGGAGCCAAAAGCACTGAATCCACGATCCACTGATAACAGTTGCAATACTTTATAGGTATTTTTCACCTTCCCTAGGATCACCACACATACAAGGGCTGTACCCAAAGCAATGCAAACATGGGAATCACTTTTTATAAATATACATAGGTCATACAAATTTCATATGTTGGTAGAGTAACTTCCTCTATGACACTTCAGTGCAGGTAAATAATGGATTTCAAGCAGAAGCAACATGTTGTCATTGGGTTTTTTACAAAGGGGCACAGGCTGTATGACATGCCACAGAAGACTACAGAATATTTACGTGGATGACACCATTGACGAGAGTCACCGATGCCAAGACATTGTCAGTAGTGTCATGCGAGTACACATTCTGTAGCTTTCAGTGGATGTCGGACAGCCTGCATCCTTCCTTCAAGAACGCAAAGTTGCTTTTGCTTGGAATGCATTTACCTGCAATGAAAAAGATTTGCTATAGGGGAAGACTTACTCTACCAATGTGAAATATGAACAACCCATGAAAGTTGAAAAGTTATGTCCACTTTTGCATTAATTTAGTTACAGCTCACTTTTCTGACTGCACATTCTAGCACAATACCAAATCTGTATGTGGAACTTCCTAAATTATCCAGTTTGAATCCTATTTGGTCGCCCTTGTACTACACAGTTGCTGACAGCTCTAAAGGGTATTGTCCAATGAGATTGTAACGTGATGAGCTTAAAGGATAAGTTCACCTTTGTTAACGCATTACACCCATATTCAGGGTGTAACATGTTACCATCGGACAGGCCAACACCCAACACCCCCCCACCCCACTTTGACAGCTATCATGGAGAAGATCCTCCACTAGTTGTCAAACGTTAAAAAAAAAAAAAAAAAAGTCTACTGAATGAGAGACTAGTCCTGACAGCCTTAGCAGTTGTCGGCTAGCAGTACACAACTACCATGGAGCTCCAGGATTCTTCCTGGCAGTACATCTGCTTGGCAGATATACGACAGAACTGCAGGAGACCTGCATGGCACCAGCGATCTGCTGATGCTTTACAGGCTCCTGCAGACAAAAATAAAATCACAAAAAACAAAAAAGGAAAAGGAAAAAAAAAACAAAAAAAAAACAGAAAAAGCACAAGCATTTTTTTTTTTTTTTTTTTACTAAAAACAATGATTATTAACGATCGGAATGAGACAATTGCCAAGTATCTCTCAGTATCTCCCAATTTTCACCAGCCTCCTCCAGCCACCTTTCTTGAAGTGGGGAAAAAAAAAAAAAAAAAAAAACCAGACCCCCTTTACCATACAAAGTTCACAGATGTCTCAAGATCACCTGACCTATGATGGTCAACATCTTAGTTTGTGGTCACTAGCAGGGTAGGACAAGATACAAGTAGAATGTCAAGTGACAAAATTGCAAATTCATGGCAAATTTCGCATTCAGCCTATAGTTCCCTGGATACGCAGAGAAGCATAAAAACCAATGCAAGGAATGGTGTCAATGAGATGTCATGCCTGTGTCTTGTACAAGTTACATTTGCCATATAGGAGGTAAAAGGTCTTAATTTTTTTTCAGCAAATACAATGAACCAAGACAGCAAATGTATGCAGCCATCCAAGCCTGAATTGGTAAACCGTCAATAAGTGCCTAGACTAGGGGATGTCAAGCAATGCATGGGCAATCTTCTAAAACAGGTACTCTTTAAACAAAGCTGAAGGTTTGCCATTGTTCCTGTGTAAGTTTATAGGAAACAGTTATATTGGACAATATGTAACCATTTGCTACTCTTTAGTTCGATGCCAACAGAATTAGTCAGCACTGGATATAGCCGCTAAAGCTCCAAAGCAGCCAGATTTGGTACATTGGACTTCCACTCTGACCAAGGTCACATTCAGATCATGCAATACCAGAGCATTCCTGTGTCTTATCTCTACACGCCTGTAACCTGCTGTCACCCAGCAAACAAACTGCAATCGGCAACAATGAGCTGATCTACCTTTACTCCAGGGCTGTCAGGCTAGAGAACATTCACACCTGCGAATGCACCAGCGGGGGTTCCTGGTGATTAGCTGCAGGAGGCAGCCTCACTGAAAGCAATAAGAGGCTAATGGCTGAAAAGCAGATTATGGCCACCAGCATGTAAATCGCTCATGTCGTGATCGCCTGCAAGTGATCAGTCCTGGACGCTGGCTAAATGAAAAAATTCTAATGGTGTAAAACCAGTTTGATTTTCCCCATTCAGGACAAAGCAATGAGTTTACTTTAAAGCCACCATCCCTAGCAGAAAGCAGAACATAATTACCTTTTCTTCTCACGGTCCCCCCTTACATTTAGCCTATGAGAATTAGAATATGCATCATTTTGGGGACAGGGGGAAAGGGTACAGTGTGGTGCTTGGAGATCAGACCAGTGCCATCACATTGATGCAGGCAGAGGTCTTCAGCCCCGTGTAAGCTCCAACTTGAACTCTGAGCTTACACAGGGGAGAGAGTCACAAGTATGTGCCGCCGGGGAAGGGCAAAGCAACAGGTTAACCTGGACACAAATGTGACTTTTGAAGTGTTATGTCATTGAAGCTTGGCTGCCCCGTCTGACTACACAACACATTAAGTTAACGCACTTCAGTTGGCCATACACTGAGCAAAATTTCAGATGGTTCTTGGTCAAACTGTCAAAATTCACTGAGGGTGGCCCTGTTGGAAACCTCCTATCCCTAGATTGAATACACTCGGCAGAAAGGCAGAAAACTGTCAGCCAAACAGCAAATGCATCTAGACATACACACTGCTCCAGGTCTAAATCTATTGCACCAATAGACTCCGTTCACACCAATTCACTTTTTAGTGCTTTTTGCAGAAATAAACTACAGTCTATTCAACATGGTTTCCTATGGAACATGTTCACTTCCATGCTATTTTGAGCCACTTTGTTTTTAGAAATGGTCAGACTTTTTAACCTCTTCTCATCCGGCCCATGTACATAAATGGCAAGATGGGAGCAGTACAGGAGTGGGTGGCAGTTTATAAACGTCCTCCCACTTCCCTGCCTGAGCGCGCGGCACCGCGATCCAGTGCCTGCCGTGTCTGGAGGAGCAGCGGAACACCGATCGCTATATGGGACCTGTGTGAGGTCCCGATCATGTGATCACTGATTGGCCAATCAGTGATCATATGAATAGTAGTAAGCAAGATGTCACTTCCTGACATCATTGCTTACTACAAGTGAAATCTGAATGATCACAGAGGTCACATAGTACAGGGCCATTCACAACAGTCTTGTACCATCTGACCAGCTGTGACCAATTACAGCTCGCACAGTATTTCTCAATGGCTGTAAGAATGCAGCCAGATAGGAGAAATTATTGCTTTTACAGCCTTTATGGGTGTAAAAAAAAAAAAAAAAAATTCTTCATAACCCCCCACAAGTAGTACAGTGTCACTGTGGTGACACTGTACTGCTAGGGTGACAGTATGTTAAACCAAAAAAATTAATAAAAATGTAAAAACACTTGAAAAATTATAATTTTTGGTTAAACCAATTTGTTTTTTTTTTTTTTACTAAAAAGATAGATGAATACATTTCGGCCAAGATTTATGAATAAAGATTTGCAAAATGTTATAAGAAAAACACTTTTCAAAATGTTTTGACTTTCATTTATATAGCAAAAAAATAAAAATCCCCAGTGGTGAATAAATACCACCAAAAGTTTTATCGGTCTAAAAAAAAAAAAAAAAAAGCTAAAAAATTCATATGGGTACAGTGTTGCATGACCGTGCAATTGTCATTCAAAGTGTGGTAGCACTGAAAGCTGAAAATTGGCCTGGACTGGAAGGGGGTGAAAGTGTC